CCAATATTGCCCCTCTTGACCTCTCTTTTTTCTTTTGTTTTTGTTTTTTGTTTCTTTTGCTTTTTTGACAACCCATTAAATCCAAGTAGTGCTGTCTACAAGTGCATGGGTACAGAGCCATACATTGGAGCATGGGAAACCTACCAGTGACCACATATTCAAAAAAGCATAAATCTCCCTCCCTGAGCAGCCATCAACAGCTAATATCTCCTAATCTTTGAACATCCTGGACTCTTTCACATAAACACTGACTCTCAAAATGCTTTTTATTTCATATAATTCAATTGCCAAGTATTTCAACTCAATGCACACTGGACTGTTGGCATGCCATGTTGTTTCTTTGTCATCATTTGCTTTCATTGTCTTACTTCCACAATTATTTGAGTATTATAATGCAAGGAGAACTACATTCTGGGGAAATGGAAAAACCAAAGTCCATATTTTAGGGATGTTTACTTGCTCATAAGTTAGATACAATTTAAGTACAGCAAGAATTGACTGGCCATACCAAATAAAGAACAGCCTTAATTCTAATCAGAAGGACATTGTGCATACCTTATATTATGAAAGAAATGAATCTTCATTTAAATATGTAAAATGCTGGAAATATATTATTTAATATTTTTATTTAATATTCAAAGTGAGGTAATATACTATAGTATATAATATATATACTATGGACTGAAATTCAATCACTTTCTAAAATTTGCTTTGCATTTGACTTCTGTACAATGTTATAAACTTTTGGAAACTTGTATCATCTTCTGGTAAAAAGGACAGTCAGAGATAAAAAAGGAAATGTGATCAGATGGAGAAAGGGAGATAATAGATAGGGTAGGAAAAAAAGAAATAGGAAAAGCCTGGGAAAGGAGATAGAACAAAAGGAACAAAAGGAGTTAGAAAGACAAGAGAATTCCTTTTTAAATGAGCAGTAGAAGGAGAAAATGGGAAGGGGAGGGTGGTACTGAGAACAAACCACAGGGACAACAGCCACATGGCTATGCTACACATTTCTCCAGCAAAGAAATCTGAAATTCTGTTTACTTGAGGAACGCGTGGTTCTTTCAAAACATTTAGGAGCAGCTACTAAATGAGTCAGGTGAGACTATGGAGTGACTATGCAGAGCATTGTGCTACTAAAACTTAAAGTCATCCTTATTTCTGTATGCATAATGACGACAGTCCAGACAAAAACCCCATGGTGAATGATTCTATCACAACCACTAGGGTGGAAGATGCCATTCTTTGGTGTTCCAAAACTTCTCTTCCCTTCCTCAGTGAATAATGTTTATACTACCACAGAAGCAACTTGATATTAATTAGAGCTAAAACCCTTTGAAATTAAAATATGACAAAAAGGGGGAAATTATGAGCTTCCTGGTGATAATCTGGGAAGACTGTCCACAATGTTTTAGTGTTCTCCCTGTGAGAAATGATCACAGAGAATTTCAGAGCCCAGTGGGATAAAGCAATGATCCCTTGGTATAAATATTATGCATCCTTAGAAAAACTTGAAAATCAATAGAATTAAATACTTTATTCAAAATTGTAACTAACCCAATGTTCAATTTAACAAGTGATGAATGAATCCATAAAACATCCACAAGGACCTGAAGCATTCATCTGTGTGTATATACCATCACTCTCAGGTTTATCAACTGGGAGTGTCCTGATATCCAAGAATGATGTCTTGATTCCTGTTCTCGGCAGAAATGGACTGCTTGGAATACAATGGTGAATAATTTTAATGAGTGGACAGTATGAAGAACACAAATATTATCTATTTGATATCATCATCACTTTAACATGTTTGTATAAACTCTTTAGAATAGATCTGTGCCAGGACAAGAAACTATATTTGATACTATGCCAGTATTCAAAGGAAGCTGATCATTAATTTCTACTTCACTTTCACCAGGGATGAGCAGTCTGAAAATTATAGGATATACAGCTCAAATGATGAAAACCATGTGCCCCAAGGGCTATCTTGCCCCTCTTCCAAGGGCAATGATATAATACAACAAAATGAAAATCACATAACATTTAGATGTTCCCAGAGGAAAATTTTCCTCAAACCATCCTTGATCATGTAATTAAAGAATCCCCTAGCATAGACATGTCCAGTGAATACTCCTTCTGTTATTATCTTTTCACCTTGGGACAGAAACATTGTCTAGTGGTTAGGGTCAAGTACCTGCCACCAAGCAAGCTCAAAGACCTAGGTTGGTATTCCCAGCACCAGAGTAACAGCCAGGTGTAGGGGAGTGGCTGAAAGTCTCATGCTGGAGAATGGGATACTCAGAACTTTCTGGCTAGACAGTCTAGCACAATTTGTGAGGTTCAGATTAAGTGAGAAACCTTGTGTGAAAAATAAGGTAGAAAACGAGAGGGGAGAGACCTGACGTTTACCTCTGTCCTGCACGTGAACCTGTAACAGGCAAGGTAGAATGTGGCTCCCAAACTCGGACACACAGACAAGATCTTATCACCCCCATTCACCTTCCCCAGAATCACAGGCACAACGGAAAAATCCTTTTCCTTCCCAACCCCATTTTGTCTCCCTCTACATATGTCAGCCTTCCTGATTGTTCAATGCAGCCCCTTCCCACTCATGACTCTTGCCACTGGAGCCTCCATTGCCCCAGCTCCTGACCCCAGGATCAGCCTAGCAATGACTGCCAGCAACCTCCTCCCTGAGAACTGCACCCTACTTTTGAGGGTTAGAATGCTTCAAGACAGAGACTACCAATCTCATGAAGAAATGCATTCATTGCCTCTGCCGGATCTGATACATTTTCTCAGGAAAATGTTGACTTTGATTTTAATTGGCCTTAAGTGATGTTTGTACAAAACTTTATCTACAGTATCCTTAAGCCTTGTTTTCTGTTTAGAACTCTTTGATGAGGAAGAGGAGGGACAGATTCTGATCTGCACATGATCAATTCACCAACAAAGCTCTAAAACACAACTCATGAAGAGAAACTTACCTTTCACATCTATCAATGATGTTGTATTTAGCAGACATTATTTGCAGACACTAACATTTTATGAGCTGCAAAGGGGCAAATGAGCACACTTAACTAACTAGCTAAACAAGGATAACTTGTCATTTGCAAATAATTAGTCAATTAAACTAAGTGGGCCCTTTTTGAAAGGTATCCTATGACCAGACCCATGCTTGTAAAGAGCTCTGCTTGACTGAGGCCACAGTATTCTGCAGGTCAATGTAGAATAATGCTACATGCTATATACTTGTTATGATTTAGTAAAATTGAATGGTGTGTGAGTAGGGGAGGGCTGCAAGGTGAGAGTATCAGCTTGGGAAAGGACTCATAAGGGCCATGAGACAAGACATCTTAGCCATCAAAAGTCCTGCAGTGTAAGCCTGAACTATCTGGGTTCATTCAGGAACTACCTTCCCAGAGCTGTTCTCTCCCCTCTACATACATTTTAGTACACACACACACACACACACACACACACACACACACACAGAGTGATATAAAATATCTTTTAAAAGAAATATTCTCAATGAACAAGCCTTACCATAAACTGTAAGGGATACAACTGCAGGAAGGGACAAAGGGAAAAGTAATATAAATTAATTATTCCACCCCCAAAATTTTGCAAGTTATGAAATGAACTTGAGCATAATCACAAAAGACATCACTGAGTCAGCACCAGGGGTGTGGTTTGTCTCTGCATCTATGCAATCCCTTTCACCAACTGTTCAACTGAGCTACTTCCCACAGTAAATTCTCAGCAGCTGCCAGGCTTAAAAAAGGAGACCCACCCATCCCCTCAGGCAGGCTCTGCAGGGTGCACCAAGCACCCTTAATAGAAATCTACACCCCTAATGCCCTAGCCCCAAAAGCAAAGAGGTGGAATTAGCAATCTGAAGGTGTGAGGAGAGCTACCATGCTTGGAACTAACAGTGGAAGCCAGGAGAAGACAGACAGATCCGCCCCACCTTGCAATCACCTTCATTCTTTGCTTTGGAAAACTACAAGCTGCTTTCTCGGCTAAGTGCCTCTCATCACCTGTCTCCTTTCCCTGCTACTTGTCAGCACTGATTCAGCATCAGTCAGATGTCCTTGGGCTCTTGGGCTTGTTGGGATGAGAAAGGGAAAGAAGGGAGGTGCCTGCCAGTACCTGGAATGATTTTAGGAGGTTGAGTTTGAAAATGGACTGTGGGAAATTACAGTCTCGTTTCAACTGCTCGTAACCAGTGTGTCTTCTTGTCAGTGTTTTGGTCTCTTGATACGTGCGTACTTATTTAGTCTCCACCTCTTCTAGATCAGAGGCCTCGTAATCTATAACCTTATCACACGAAGCATAGCCAACATGCCACCAGCATTCCCTTAACCTCTGGTCTCTGTCCTAAAAGGCACTATGGTCTTTTTACATACTCACAATTCCAGCAACTAGCACACTCCCTCTGCCCACCTCAATCACAGGAAACCCATTAGACAAAGAGCCTTGAAGTATCCAAAACCCCTTCCAAGAGCCATCTCTTGCAGTCACACTTTCCTCTTAAGGTCACAACCTCCAGGAGCGGTTTCCCAATGTATCAAAATCATTTTGGAGAGCTCAGTGAGGTCACAGACCCAAAGCATGCCAACGGGAATCATAAAAGAACTGGTCTACCATCCAGCAGAAAGTGGATCTTGGAAAACTCTTTCTCTTCAACTTCTGCTTGGCCCTTGAGCTCTCTACAGTCTATCTCTGGGCTTCCTGGTACCCCTGGCCCTACCACTTCCACCCTCCTCCCTGGCTCTCCCCAGATCCTCTTCCACCCAGTCTTCTCCAAGGGTTCTGTTCAGCAGGAAACACAAGCGATCCCGGTGGGCGGCGCCTGCCCTCTAGACCGCACTTCCTAAGTCAGATACTTGACTTTCCAAACTTTCCGACTCCCTCTCCCTAAGTCTATAAAGAAAGAAGAGGCCAAGAGAGCAACCCCGGGCTCCGCGGACCGCATTCGGACCCCGCACTCCACTCACCCGCCACCACCGTCACCGCCACCGCCGCCGCCGCCGCCGCCGCCGCTGCGAAGGTGGCGCCCAGGAAGCCGGGTGGAGGGAGGCGCACCTGCGCGGGCGGGAGCTGGCCGCACCTCCCGGGCGGTGCCGAGCGTGTCACCAGGGGGCGGCGAGTTGCAACAGGTCCTGATTCTCTACACTGCACAGCCCGAGTGGCCGAGCGCCCTGTCTGAACTCAAAATCCCAGCCCTGCACACAGCAGCCTTTCTTTTCCTCCTCGCCCGCCGGGCTGGGACGCTAGAGCAAGTCCGGACACCTGTGCGCTGCGAGCAGGGACCCGGAAAAAGCCTGGCTCACCTGGGAAGAAGGAGGACCTTTGAGCAGGACAAGGGTGCTTTCCGCCAGCCTCGTGGACACCCAGAATGCACTCTGGAGCCTCAGGCTTGGAACAGGGCTTGGGCCCCTCCAGCCCGCAGCCCTCAGCCCACAGCCCCCAGTTCAGACCCCTAGATGGTTTGGAAAAGACCGAGAGGTGGAACTGTGGTTGAAAGAAAGGATTTCAAGAAGCATTTTTGGGTGTGGATTTACAATTGTATAGGTTGCTTGGGAGGAAAGGACCGGAGTCTAAGACAATCATGCAAGGTACACAAGGTGGCAAGGGGGAAGCACAGACTGCAATTTGGTCTTAACAGAAACAACAGTAAAGAAAAGTTTTATTCCCTTCCCTCTCAGTTAATGCCATGAGTGTTAAGCATAACCTGTATAGTCATGAAGCCATCAAGATACAACCATCACAGGCAGTGTTAAAATTGCAGGCTATTGGGGCTGGAAAGGTGGCTCAGATCATAAGAGCACTGGCTGCTCTTCCAAGGTCTAGATTCAATTCCCAGCATCCACTGGACAGCTCACAACCATCTGTAACTCCAGAACAAAGGGAGTTCAGTGCCCTCTTCTGGCTTCTGCAGGTATCATGTGAGCATATGGTGCACATACATATATACTTTCAGGTAAAATACTCAAAAACATTTAAAAAATAAACCTTTTTTTTTCCAATAACCTAGCACGAGAATATGATGTCTTAGGGTCAAGGCAGGCACACTTTCATCTTCTGGCATGACACTTAAATTATCACAATATGGAATTAAGCTTTAAATGGCTTACGGAAAATATTAAACTGTTAGGAACTGAGTTGGGCCAGGACTGATAAGTTGGTTTAGGTAGGAGAATGAAACTTACATAGTCTAGAATGGTGAGGCATTACAACCTAGTCCAAAAGTCAGAATAAGTTCTAGCACAAATCAGGGTTTGTAGCATCTGACATCTACAATCTTCTTCAAAAGAATGCAGAGAATTATCTTGCTTTCATGTTGAAGTTTTTCTTCTGGTCCTGCTAACTTGTGTTTTTTTTTTCATAAGTATATATTTTATGATCTGGTCTTTATTGATATAGCACCACCTTTTGACTCAAACCATGTTCTCACAGACAAGCGAGCACCCCCTAACCTCCCTACCCCGCCTTCAAATATAACTCGAGATTTTTTTATCATTCTCATGTTGGGAATGAACCCAAGGTTTTAGCTACTACCCAACAGTCATCTTTATCATTGCCTTGTTCTTCCTCTTCTTCTTCTTCTTCTTCTTCTTCTTCTTCTTCTTCTTCTTCTTCTTCTTCTTCTTCTCTTCCTCCTTCTCCTCCTCCTCCTCCTCCTCCTTCTCTGTCTTTGTCTTCTTCCTCTTCTTTGTCCTTCTCCTCCCCCCTCTGTTTTTATTGTTTGCTTTGAGACAAGGTTTCATATAGCTCAAGTTAGCTAGGAACTCTCTAGGTAGCCAAGGTTGACCTAGACATGCTGATTCCCATCCCCCCACTCTAGAATAAGAATGATTGACTTTACAAGTCTATGCCACCATGCCCAACTCCAAGGTACTTCTTAAGGTGCAATTTTCTTTTACATGTCTTTGGGGAGGAGACCACATGTGTGAGGAGGAAGCATGTTGAAACTGCTTTAGCACAGATGCACATAACATGTCTTGGTTGTTTTGTTTGTTTGTTTGTTTTGCCTGCTTAAGATAGTTTCATCTGGGAAAAGGGAACTTAATGAAAACATGCCTCCAACAGATTGTTTGTAGCAATGTCTATAGGTATTTACTTGATTAATGATTGATATAGGAGAGCCCAGCCCCACACTGGTGATGTCATCTCTGTACAGGTGGACATGAGTTGTATAAGTAAACAAGTTAACCATCACACGAGGAGGAAGCCAATAAGCAGTATCCCTCTGTGTTCTCTGCTTTCATTCCTGCTTCCAGCTTACTGCCCTGTATTCCTGCCTTGGCTTCTCCTGAAGATGAACTATAAACTAAAAGCCACATAAGCCCTTCACTGCCAAAACCCACATTTAATCAAGTTGTTTATCACAGCAAAAAAGCATAACTAGGGCAGCCCATTTTCAAAACAAAACATGCGGACTAAAATTAAAATGGGGCCATCAGCCAATGGAGAGTCCAGTTTTATTAAATAAGCATGCATGAATAGATGAAGAGAATCCCAAAGACAGAAGGAAATCTGCTAGAGTGACAATTATCAAAAGCAAACAAAAAAACAGTGAAATACAAGTAGAGAGAATCCATTAACGACTCCATTTAAAGTCTTTTCTGCCCTTGGTTGGTTAGGGGATGTACAAAAATGGTCTCACCTACAGCAGAACTTACAAGAAGGCATTTTGGTTACTCTTTTACTACCATGGCATAACACATCCAAGGTAATTTATAAAAGACAGCATTTAATTTGGGATCTTACAATTCCAGAGGGGGAGAGTTCATGACCATCATACCAGGGAGCATGGAAACAAAGCAGGGGCAGGCATGGCAGTGGAGCCGTAGCTGAGAGCGTGTATCTGATCTCCAGACAGTAGGCAGGGAGACTAGGTAAAGGTCCTGGCATGGGAATGACATACATACTCCAACAAGGCCTTACCTCCTAATCCTTCCCAAACTGGGGACCAAGCATCCAAATATATGAGGCTCTAGAGATCATCCTCAAATAACCACATGAGACAAGGAGTACTGAGAAACCTTGACACAACTTTTTAAAACTGAGTAGTTGCTGAAAAGCAGACTTCTTCAGAGAATTCGGGTGACACAGGGCCAGGTCCTGAAGAAAGTTAATTAAGGTTAAAACAGGAAAGCAAAAAAAACTTCTGAAACATCAATTCACTATTAAATTTGGCCATGTAAATGTAAGTTTATAAATACAGCTTCTTCACACTAAATATGATTTATTCTATATGACTGTGATGAGAATTATGAATTAAGAATAGCATATGTAAACCAGGCATTGGTGGCTCACGCCTTTAATCCCAGCACTCAGGAAGCAGAGGCAGGAGTATCTCTGTGAGTTGCAGGCCAGCCTGGTCTACAAGACCTAGTTCCAGGAAAGCCTCCAAAGCCACAGAGAAACCCTGTCTAGGGGAAGAAAAAACAGAGAGAGAGAATAGCATATGTAAACCATATATATGGCCTGATATATGGGGTAAGTACATAACTACTCTTGTGCTTGGAGTTCTGTGTAGGAGTCAAGGGGAGGGGAAAGAAGCTGTGAGTTTCAAGCTACTGGAAGTGCACAGTGGAAACCAAAATTCCAGGGATGGAAAGAGAAGGATGGGATGAAAGTATGGTCATGTGTCAAACTGTTTTCAAAGTGTCAGAACTCTCTGTAATTCTTAAGTACTCAGAAAATTATCATGGGAAGGAAATACCAGAAAGCAGAAGGAATAGCAGGTACTGGACATGACCCACCTTGGATGCCTCTGCATATAAACACTATTCATAAAGAATTCTCCCTGTTTTCATTACTAAGCAGTTTTCATTGGAGAAAACTAAAATTGGAGTTTTAAAAGTAATACTCAGAGAGTCAAAGGTTGATTGAGAAGCTCCAGTTAAAGGGCTTCCAAGATAAGGCCTTCAATAAAAGGAAGTCAGTTTGAAGTCTAATAAGTCAGTGAAACTCTCATATTCAGTAAGTATTCATAGATTTCGTATATTGAGCTAAATTCCCTAGGGGAATGAACAACAGTGTTCAAGATTTTTCTGTCCTTGAAGGGCTTATTCTTTAATTGAGAAATTATAGAAACAAAAAAGTATAAGAATCCAGGGAGTATTAGACATGCAAACAAAACACAGATAGAATAAAAGAAAAATCATTGTAGAAGGAAGCAAAATCTTACTGAGAAAGAAGGAGATTATGTTTTGAATAACATTTTCTGCTTTAATTATTTTGTATTCGACATACATGAATCCCTTAAAAATTTTCTCCTATATGTGATAAATTGCTATTCCATTTTGTTACCAGAGCTAAGTCATTATTTGCACACAACTGCTGACAATGCCTTGTCAGAAGGCAGATGCAGTCATTATTTTAGAAAGAAGTCATATTTAACAATAGGAATTATGGGAGATTAACAGGCAAAGTTCCTACCAGTGTTGGCAAAATACTCTGCTGGATGAGTCATCACATTAGTTTAACAGTGTTACTACACTTCATGGGAGACTTCTGGGAAAATTATTTAAATGAATGTCACAATCATGTCATGTATCTCTTACATTTAAATTGTTACATAATGTGTTACATGTTATTGATTCAGCAAATTTATTGAGAATTTTCTATAGACAAGACATCATACCAGGCTCTGGTTGGGTTAAGAATGAAAGATTAGCAAAGCAGTGTAGATAACCGGCGATGATATATCTAGGATTTAATCATTGTCTCAGCCCTTGATTTCTGTCTGTTCATATTTGTGTAAATATTGAGCAACTCTACCATTTAAAAATCAAAAGTTGGTATAAAATATTTCTTCAAAGAGGTGTGGAATCAAATGCAATTAAGTAGGATAAAGTAGATACATAGACTAAGGGTTTCTTCCTTTAGGAAAAATAAGAAATACTTTTTAGTTTGGGCTGCAGACAATCTTCAAATATATAATATAGCACTGGGGATTTTTGTTTTTGATTTTCAAGCATCTGTAAAAGGTTAAGTAATATTAACAAATAATTTAGGGGAGAGGTAAAGGATAAAATGACTCAGTTAAAACCAGAAAAACAATGGTAATATATTTTTAATATATAAAATCATTAGCTTCTATGAATGCATTCCTCTTTCTCTGGAATAGGCCAAACATACCATTATGCTTACGTTTTTCATAATAAGGACTTATATGGAGTGACATTGCATAG